GCATTGCCTTGGGTTCTGACTTGTTGATAAGATTGATTTTGATAAGATAATGATCCAAAATGCTTGTCCAAAATGGCTTTTGCTGCACCAGAAAAAGCAAAGAATTCATCCTCGAATGCGATTCGGAAATCATGGTGTCCTCATCAAAGATTTCCAAGTCACCCTGCACCGCAACGAATTCTCCCCATAAAATTTGAACTTTCTCTAAACGAGCCTCTTAATTTAAAATTTTAAATTTTATTTCCGTCAGTGAAATCATCAATAAATCTGGCAAATCGCTACAACGCACTGAGATCAAAAGAATGACTAAATGAGGGTACTAAAATGAAATGTAAATACTAAGCAATGATACCAAAGTAGCTTGAAATTAGAATATGTGAATAATGAGCCAATTACTCACTACAAATTAGTAATACAAACAACAAATCGCATTGATGGAAGAATGGTAATGCTACTATACAACAACTAACAGCACATAATAGCAAAACGGTTACTAAACTAAGATTAAAAATATTAATAATTGTGTAATTAAATTCAAAATTCCAATAGCCTGACTCAAACTACAGACAGAAAACAGACCAAACTAACCGTTTGTATTAATCTGCAAAACTGGATTTGATAACATGTAAATATGTAACATAAAATTATAAAGTTATAGTTTATTAGCACTCAAAAGATACTCGATACAATACTAGTCTCAGATGTTTGAAAATGGTGAAGGCAAATGAATAAAAAAGTATTAGTACTTACTATTTTGCCTCTTTGTTGGATTGCTGCAGAAAGTCAAAGTCATAGTCAGTAATTACCAATTACCGTAGGCGGCGTCCCGTATCTTAACCAGAGTTACCGATCGGGATAAAGTGGTTCGTCTATGGTGACAGTCTGGTTCATGAAAATGCGGTTTAGGTGTGGAACGCAAAATATATTTGTAGTAAGAAATCGACATGAATGAAGGTGATATTTACCTCTTGTTCCATTTTCACCGCAAATACACTTCGAAAGTGGACGAAATATGAAAAAATTGAAAAATTTTCACCTAACCTAACAAACAAATGTCAGAAATTGAAAGCAAACCGAAACAACCAAAGCTTTTTGATCGGTACATTCGATGACAGTTGGGACCGAATTTTTCAGGAACCGCGTTTCATAATCTAACCAGATTTCAGGAGTGGTTCGGTTACGGAACGGGAACCGGAAAAATCAAGGATCTTGGTTAACTTACGGAAAGTCGCCTTAATTTTGAGGTGAATGACCAAAAGTTTGATAAATTGTTGATGAACTGTATCAATTTGTCGTCTAGTATTCCTCTCGAAGGACCATGTTTTAGGGTTATAATAGGCTTTTCTATTTCCCAAATTTGATGTACATGATTTTGAAATAATGCTCAAAGTGTCACTAAACTGTATACACTGTATATTGATTGAAAATACATTACCTGACAACACAGGGGATCAAAGCTGATATATTCAAACAGAATATATCTTTTAACTTTGTAGATTATTGGAGGAGTGAGGTTCAAGAAAATGCGTACTATGACAAATAAAAATGCAATCTGACAATTATTTTGCCAAACTTGCCAAAACTGAAAATTACGTTGCCTTGCCTTCCCTACCTGCTGCTCAGGTGGCAATAGCCCACTTTTTGAACAATATTCAAGACACTGGGCAATTAGTTTTGCATAGGCGTCCTGCATATTTTTCTATACAAAGCCACTCCAGGTTTATGACGAGTCCAGATCAAGCAAACAAAAAGTGAACACGATTTAAAGTCAAAAACACGACAAAACTGCGACAAAAATCAGGTATTTAAATCAAGACAATTTTGAAACAAACTGTCTATACCACGAGGGCAAAAGTGCGTCAAATTTTAGCTGCTGCGAATCTGTGTTTAACCATGTGTCGTTTCCACCAGGAAGAAGATGAAGATTTAATACTAGTGCTGGCATCATATTTACATTTTTTATAGGCACGAAAAGCCGATTCTTTCAAATGTGTACAATACTTCTGATCTGATATAGTATAGGTAATTAGGAATGGACTTTATTAAATAAAACAGACAACTAAATTTGTGTAATCATTTTGTTACTACTGGGACCTATTATGTAGCCCATGCAATGAAGTGATAATCTCCTAGCGGGATTTATTTTTAAGTCTCCGTACGAAAATGTAAATTACAGTGATATCAGTAATTAGAGATATCGGTAAACTGAACAGTGTGACCGCCGCCGTTAGCGTCAGACAGTAGGTATTTCTTTCACGTTGAGCGTAATTTGTTTACCTAACTTTTCCTTTGAACCCGACGTAGGTAATGGTTTGCTTCAATGAGTATTGTTTTTGTTCTGTGCCTCCTATAATTATTACACAAAAGACAAAATTCAAACTCAAATCACTAGTTGAAATAAGAAAACAAATCACGTAGCCTTACAAACCCTAGTTAAATCTCTGGGCATGCTAAATTTTAAGCGTTACCCAAAGTAGAGCTTGTCGTTAGTACTTCGTAAATCACGTTACGGGGTACCGTTATTTTACTATGTAGGGCTAAAAATAGAATCGCGCATAGCTCGGTTTAATGTCAAAATAACCTCCTAAGCTACAACACTGCATAACGCTATTTGGCTTACCGATATCTCTCTATTAAGGACGAAAATGTTGCATCCACATAAACATAACTTATATTTGATTATTTCAGTGTTCACATGTTCTCGCAATGGTTTATCAAATTTTACCGTAAAAATAACACAGTTTTTTGTATAGGTATAAATAGGCGCATAGTGATGTTTGACTATTTGCTAATAGCGCTGAAAATAGTTTAGCAACCTAATGGATAGTGAAAAATTTTGCCTAGTGGGTTTTTTTTTTGTCCCAAGTGGCCGATGAAAAAATAACCCAAAAGTGTCTTCAATAAATATAGAAAAATACAACGTCGCTTCGTCGCTAGCTTTTCAAAATGAAGCTATGAAAATATTCCGGGCCGCAAAGACCTTCGGTCAACCGGACATTATAATACCGACCCTTATGGCTATTTGCACCGCTATAACTTAAGGGATGCTTAAGCTCATTGGAGCTTTGAATGTGAATTTTGTTTCTACAAGAGTCACATTCAAAGCTTCACTTAGATTAAATATCCCTTAAGTCATAGCCGTGCAAATAGCCGTTAGTGGTTTAGAGGATGAACTGTGATCAGACAGCGGATAAATAACAAATAAGTTGATGATTCGTTTAAGTTTGTTATTTTGTGTCTGCGAAAAACTTCGTTTGTGGAGCAAATGTTTCTGCTGTATATTTTATCTGCAATTTATAGATTTTGGTTTGTGGCATTTTCATTATTACTGGACATTGTTGCTAGAGAAATTTGCTAAAACGTTGAAGGAAATTTCAGGCTAAAATGGAAACTTTATTTTACCCCCTCCAGATTTCAAGCAGGAAATTGCTCTTATCTGTAAAATGCAAACTTTAGAACATTATCTCCCTGACTATAGGAATAGAAGCACTATAATACATAAGTAAACTAGTAATTAGATATAATATAAGCACTAGACAATTCAATTAACGACTAAAAGGCTAATTAGGTTTGTTTCTCTTGTGACGCTACTACGAATAGTCATCGCCTTGTAATTGGTTTACATGAATTGTGACACTGAAGTGAGAATTCTCTGCTTTATACGAGATTTTTCTCTAAATTTTCTTGTTAATCGCATACAATTCAAGTTCCAGAACCGAATTGCAGTAGTTGTTTTATTGGTATTTTGAACACAAATACGTAGATTTGTGAAACATACCTAATTTCGAAAGATTAAAAAGGCGGGAAAGAAGGCTTACGTTGCGTTAGTGGTCTTCTGCAGACGGGTATTTGGATACCTATGACGTCAATGAGCTGTCGGCCTGAAGATCATCATCATAGATTAAATTTGATTTGGGCTCCATGGAAAGTTGCTAATCATCTGAAAAATACCTTTACAATTTTGGAGTGTCGAAACATTTTTAAATTGCAAGAGTCATAAAACAAACATTTCAAAGAAAAAACAATGGTACACAGTTTGTAAAATTGTTGGAAATGCAATTTTTTTCTTTAAATAATGCGTATTTTGTAATACATTATAAAAATTATCTAATGCTAGGCTTTTATTATACTTTCTTCAAATACAATTTTTTATCCACAAAATTTTTACCTACCGCTTTAAGGTATTTGATGATTGCAATGATATGTGCATTTACTGGTTTGGGTTTAGTTATATAAAAGTTATTGTACGCTGCTAACACTTTAAAACGCTCCACTTTTCTAGGGAAATCCCTGCTTACGTTTTAAGGTAAAAAGTTAATTTAAAAACATTCATTAATTACCGATTAAAACTATCAGTATCATTGTTGATTGATTCTACTTGGCTAGAATTTGGCTTGTAACAAGTATAATCAAAATTAATTCAACTGTAGAATAGTATTTCATTCTCAATATCTAGCAAAAAATTGGTTGTATTACCATAGCACTTAGAAATTATAGACGACAAATATATTTCATCGATTGAAGCAGGCATTTTTGAAAATGGTAGATGAATGTAGATAAAACTACCAGAAAAATTCCAAGAAGATCAGTTCAACAAAAACAATGAAATCAACGTTTTTTCTTATTTAGAGCATATCCTCCAAACTAATCAAACGATGTGTTACTATATTAGTTTTTATATATGATTATAAAAATAATAATAAATGCATTTCACTTTTTCGATGAATAAGTAATCGATTCTTGGAAGAAAATAAGTATAACTACACAATCGTCCTTTAAGTAGAAATTCATCCCATTTTACTTTCTGCCTGGGAACTTGAAACACTTGCACATTTTTTCTGTTACTTTGTTGCGACATCAGAATCAGGCGTGTATGTATTAAAATGAAGTTTCGTTGTTTTTAGGAGAGTGTGGGAATCGTTTGATAAGTGTAGTTTTAAAAGCAAATTCCAAATAACTTTTTAGTTAGAACGTTGAATACATTATTGTTTTTTTTTTAGAAAGTCGAGGGCGGCATGCCTGCCCTGCGCCTTTTTGGCAGGAAATGGTTAGCCGCATCGGACGACCTCGTTTTTCCAGGACTCTTCGAAATTAGCCTCAGGATATTATGGTGAGTAACATATCTCGGTGTTTTAGATGCAATTTTGACAATTGTTTGAATATGGTAATCAAATTTTTTGCTCGAGGTTCAAATTGAACCCACTACATACTTTCAAACTCTGCAAGTTTGGGAACTTTCTTTCAAAAGACTTACCCTTCAAATTCCAGCTTTTTACTTACACCTGGCAAGGTAACGATTTAATTTTACTGCATGCCCGAGTGCATGCCCTTTGGCTTACTTACAAACAAATACAAAATACAAAGAAACAGAATTGCAGTAAATATCCTTAATGAAACAAAGCCCAAATTTAGTATGCAACTTCAGCGTATGCTAAATACCATAATGGTTTAATGAAGTCATTCCCTCAATAACAGACAGAGATTTTGACTCCTGCACCATCAATTTGACAGAACACAAGCTTTGTTTTTTATTTTGAATGACATTAGTTATACAATTATTATTAGTGAATGCCAATTTTAAAAACAATTTTTCTAGGTTGGCGCTACTGGTATGTGTTTACATCAAATTTTATGACGACACTTGGAAATGTTCAAAAGGTGGAGATTTTGTACGGACCTTCTTTATAGGTAAGAAAAATATTATCTTGATTTTGGGATTTTGATTTACATATTGTGACGGCCGCCAGTGTGTCAAGAATCCTGTACAGAATTAGCGAGTTCGAGATTTTACGTTGATGTTCGGGAACAAGGGCGATCGCGCTTCTTCTGGAATTTACTCGAATAAATTACGGTTATATATAAGCACGAGTTTTAGCTTGTAAGTTTAAGTTAAAGTTTGACTGTGATACGAGTTAAATAGTGATTATTGTTGTAAAGGGTTCAATTGTTCAGTTAGTTATTAAAGTAATTAGTGTCAGAGTGTATTGTTACGTGGAATAAATTATTGCTGTGTTAGTTGGACTTTGATTTTTGGAATAAACGAAACGAACCAAAGATTTCTGTCAGGCAACACAAAGCCGTGGCAATTAGTGTCAGAAGTGGAATATAAAGGACTGCAGAGTGAAATCCAATCGCGGAAGTGCGGGGAGACTAGTGTAGTGTAAAAACTGAACACTATGTGAACACTGGGACAGTTAGTCAGTGCAAACAGTGACAATCACAAAAAGAGACTTAACCGATCGTGTGAATTACCCCGGAAGTGACTCTATACCCGATTTTGACTGTGATAGTGATTCTTCGAGTGAGTTCTAGAAAATTCTATTTGGAAACTAGGAGAGATATCGAATTTGTGACTTCGCCCACGTATTCGGAACATCAATCGTCATTCAGAAAAAGTTTTTCGAGGAGTTTCGGGAAAATTCTAGAACATTCTATTTGGAAACCAAGGGAGATATCGAAATTGTGACTTCACCGACATGTTTGCTGTATCAATCCACATCTAGAAAAGAAACTTCAAGAAAATTCCAGAACATTCTATTCGAGAATAAAGCAAGTTATCCAATTTGTGACTTCACCGGCGTGTTTGGAACTTCAAGCAAAGACCAGGAAATCTTTCCTGGTCTTTGCTTTGAAGAAAGTTTGAGTGAAATTCCAGAACATTCTGTATATGCCTATCACAAGACAACAAGCAAAAATGGACGAACAAAAAGTTGAAGAACTTCTGCGGAAAATGTTGGAACTTCAAGAGACCAAACGACAACAAGAGAAACAAGACGAAGAAGCTAGACGACAACAAGAAGAGGCTAAACGACAACAAGAAGAGGCTAAACGAGAACAAGAAAAACAAGATGAAGAGGCCAGACGACAAAAAGAAATACAAGACGAAGAAGCTAAACGACAACAAGAGAAACAAGACGAAAAGGCCAGACGACAAAAAGAAAAACAAGAAGAAAAAGGTAAACGACAACAAGAAAAACAAGACGAAGAAGCCAGGCGACAAAAAGAACGGCAAGAACACCTTGGACAACTACAGAAAATATTTCAAAACATACACGGATTCAGGAAGTAAAAGCTGTAGTCAAAGCCGATGTTCAAGAAGTTAAAGACAATGTTCAAGAAGTTAAAGACGATGTTCAGCAATTAAGGCAAGAAGTTGAGGACCAAGCTCAAGCACTCGAAGATAAGATGCGTATATTAGAAATACAGTCCATCACTCCAGCTAGTGTTAGAGCATTCTCCAGTATGAAGATAAAACCACCAACTTTTGACGGTTCTACGTCCTGGACCATGTATTTTCGATAATTTGAAGCTGCTGCAAACACCAACGGATGGAACGACCAAGAAAAAGCTACAGCACTAATAGTGGCGCTACGAGAACCTGCCTTAGACCTTCTTCAGTCCATTCCTTCAGTCTAACAACAGAATTACCAGCATCTAAGTCAGACGTTAGAATTGCGCTTCGGAGATCATTACAGGCAAGAAGTATTTAGAACTCAAGTCAAATCAAGAATTCAAAAACCCGGCGAGAGTTTACAAGAATTCGAATCAGAAGTTAAAAGGTTAGTGAGTTTGGCGTTTCCTGCAGCTGGGGAAGACATGCAAGAATGGATGGCAGTATCTACGTTTATTGATGGTCTTCGGGATTCCAAGATCTAGGAAAACCTAAGAATGTCCAAGTTCAGGAAAAGTAGCGAAGCCTTTGTCCGAGCATTAGAACTGGAAGCAATCTTTGGTGCCTCAACACCCAGAATACGAGCAGTGTCCATTTAAGACCCAAAGGATGAACAAACGTCAAAAGAAGATGGTAGCTTCAAGAATCTTATGAGTAAGTTCACGGAGAAGATGAATAAACTAGTACTAGAAATTAGACAAATGGAAAACTACTTCAAACAAACACCTACACCGAGAAACCGAATAAAATGTTACTGGTGCCAAAAGCTTGGACACATGCAATGGGATTGTAGACTAAGGATGTCCTCTCCATCTAGGGATCGTTCCCAAAGCTTTTGGAGGTCCAGAGACGCCAGTCCTAAATATCGACCTAGAAACCTGCAAGAGAAAAACACTAGTCCAACTGTGAGAAGAACGGGTTTGATCGTTGATGACAAGTGGACAACGAAACAAATGAGAGAAGATCAGGAAGCAGACCAGGGCTGGGATCACGACAAGTAGAATTCCACCAGAAATCTACTTTCATGAGTTCAGGTTGCCTAGCAACCATCATCATCGCCTGTACTGTACGCGATAAATAGGTCGCGGGTGACGTCATGAAAGTAGAATTCTACTCGTCGTGATCCCAGCCCAGGACATCGGGCAGATTCTCCATCTTAAGGAAAATGATGAATGCAGGCCAGAATGGAGGGAAGTGTCAATCAAGGGCTTGATTTACAAGGCATTGTGGTCCCAGTGGAACTCTCTCGCCGTAGAAAATGGGTTGCTTAAAAGAGTTTGGGAAAGTGCCGATGGGAAATCCACTAAGAGCCAACTGGTTATCCCAAAAGACCGAGTGGAAGATGTATTAAAAGAAATACACGACGGAACTTCAGGGGCACATTTCGGAGTTAACAAGACTTTGGACAAAATCCGGGAACGTTTTTACTGGGTTCACTACCATGAAGACGTTAAAAGCTGGTGCCGAAAATGCGACATCTGTGCTACCAGTAAATGCTCTAAACTAAAATCTCGGGGGCCCATGAAACAGTACAACGTCGGTCTTCCATTTGAAAGAATAGCGATAGACGTAGCCGGACCGTTTCCATTGTCAGAGCATGGTAACAAATACATCTTAGTTATCATGGATTATTTCAGTAAATGGCCAGAAGTTTCCGTTATTCCCAATCAAGAAGCCATCACTGTTGCCCAGGTGCTAGTGGACGAAGTTTTTAGTCGTCATGGTGTGCCACTAGAGTTACATTCAGACCAGGGACGAAACTTCGAATCTGCCATCTTCAAGAAAATTTGTGAGATCATGGGAATCCGTAAGACCAGGACAACACCTTTACATCCACAGTCTGATGGCATGGTAGAACAATTTAATAAGACCATAGAGGAACACCTGACAAAAGTGGTCGCAAGGAGCCAGCGAGATTGGGACAAGCATTTGCCTCCATTTTTAATGGCTTACAGCTGTTCACGATTCAACAGGTGAAAGTCCGGCTAGAATCGTTTTTGGAAGGAAACTCAGGTTACCTTGGGATCTGATGTTTGGGAAAAAACAAAAGAAATCCGAGATTATGCCGAGGAAGTAAGGGCACGACTTCTGGGTATCCATGATTTTGCTCGGGAGCATATTAAGATGGCCAGTGACCGAATGAAGACTAGATACGACTTGAAAGCCAATTCAGCCGGATTTCAAGAAGGCGATTTGGTGTGGCTGTATAATCCAGCTAGAAAGAAAGGAGTATCGCCGAAATTGTCTTCAGCATGGGAAGGACCCTATAGAATAATCAAGAGGATCAATGATTTGGTTTATCGAGTCCAGCGCAACACCAGGAGTAAGATGAAAGTTGTACATCTAGACAGATTAACGAAATATCATGGGCGTGAAGTTGATCGGGACGATCAACCTTAAGAGGAGGACCGTGTGACGGCCGCCAGTGTGTCAAGAATCCTGTACAGAATTAGCGAGTTCGAGATTTTACGTTGATGTTCGCGAACAAGGGCGATCGCGCTTCTTCTGGAATTTACTTGAATAAATTACGGCTATATATAAGGACGAGTTTTAGCTTGTAAGTTTAAGTTAAAGTTTGACTGTGATACGAGTTGAATAGTGATTATTGTAAAGAGTTTCATTGTTGAGTTAGTTATTAAAGTAATTAGTGTCAGAGTGTATTGTTACGTGGAATAAATTATTGCTGTGTTAATTGGACTTTGATTTTTGGAATAAACGAAACGATCCCAAGATTTATGTCAGGCAACACAAAGCCGTGACAATATTGTTACGAAAATGCCTCGATATCGTGGCGCCGGGACTCCAAGACATTAAATTAGTCACTTGTTTACGTCAAGCAGTGCCCTTTTTTTCTGAAATTTTATTATCTTCGATTCGATGTTTTTCTAGCTAAATCCCGAGTCTAATTTCGACTATATAACTAGAGCGTAGGAATAATTTGGATCAGTCTAGTCAAGAGCTTGTTGAGTGTTGTAGTTAAGTCAGTTTTTAATTCGATATTTGTCGTGTAGGTTTCGATAAGTGAGCTTTGTTTTGGTTCGTTAATACGGGATCAATTCGTAAAAGTAATAAACCAAAACGCATTTTTGCATTACGTCAGATTTGCCGTGGGCCATATTATTACTTGACTTCACTTGAAGCTCAAAAAGTAGGTTATATTGTGAATAATTAGGTAGAGGGTGAGGGTACTTATTGCAATGTTAAATCTGACCCTCATCACTTCCTGATGTCTCGTCATCACTGCTTGAAAACATCATATGAAATAAAAAATTTGATTACTAAACTGAAAACTTGTATCAAAAAAAAAAGTCTTACTAGTATTAATGGCTTGATCCGCTTGACATCCATAATTTCCCAAAACCAAAACAAAGCTTTATTTATGCTTAAAAATACCCAAAACAAGTCCTTATAGAAATAAGGCTAATTTCAATGTGCGAACTATTTAATTCTCATACAATCCCTACTCAGAATGATTCCAGAACAGTTCCTGCGTCGGGCAGAAACCAAAACGGCGAAT